CACAGGAAAAATGAAAAAGACTAGTGTATAAGTTAAGTGATATCATTTTGGATAACATGGTACTCAGACCAAAACTGATATATGCAGACAGACACCTGCATATATTCAATGTAAGCAAAAGTATAAGTCACAGTGCATATGAAATTGTCACTGATGCTCCGAGAGACCCACCAATGTGAGGTTTTCTTCCACTCGTGGATTCAGACGCTTCAGTCCCTGGCCAGTTGGCCTTGTTGCGTTGGCCCTGTAATTACAAAACACAGTGGAGCACATGGCAGAGGAAGCTACTCACCTCCGCTGGGAAGCGGGGAAGGAAAGAGAGCAAAGGATCCAGGGTGGCAGCGTGCCCGTCAAGGGGACTCCTCGGTGACTTCACTTCCTCTTGGTTAACTACTTCCTGTTAGTGCTACAGGCCGCCAACCGAGCCTTTTAACACGTAGAACTTTGGGGGGACACTGTAAATTATAGCACTCAGCAGCCTTCTGAAAATGATAAAACATGACAGAAGGCCTATTGGAGACCCTTGGGTGGACTAACCAGCCAGGAATCACGCACACGCCTACGCTTCTTGACTTTAGACTCCAAGAGAATAGAGGACCTCTGAGAATAGGATAAAGTACAATAGAGCCCAGTGAGGATTGACATGTGAGGCGGGGAAAGATTAAATGATTCTCAGGTCCTTTCTTCAAACCTTGATCTGTCCAAGTCGAGGCCAATGACATTCCAGACAACTTGAATGTGAATGTGGGAATTGTCCTGGTTTCTTTTGACAGTTTTTAAGAAGTAAGGGTTGACACCAGAAGAATAGAGGAAGCATTACTCTGACCTGATTTAAAAAGCAATACTCAAAGGATATTTTAAATTTCATGGCAATAGCCTTGAAATGAGAACCAGAGCTACATTTTCAAAGAGATGCTTTATGGCTGCATTATAAAAGAGGCAGTAATAATTAATAAACCGCATTGTCAGTTAAGCTAATACTCTTTCACAGTAATTCACTGACAGATTAGTAGGAATTTATTTTGTATCCAGGATACCAGGCAAATGGGTTTCTTATCATCTTCTGTTAAACAAGATGGTACACTGAGTGACCCCACTGAGAGATTATTGGCAAGTGGATAGGTCTGATTCCAGTTAGTTGATGTGTAGTACGCCTAACAAGCTAGGCAGTGATGAAATTTAGACAGGACAACTATTTGCTTCTTTGTTTTTTTAGAGTGGGATAGCTTTTCTGTATCGATGGTTATTTAGTAGCAACCTTGGTCTTTATCTAGCAGATACCTTTTTCATATTTATCCAAACTTTAAGCCAAACACTCTCCAGACATTACCAAATATCCCTGGGGCAGCAAAAGTACCTGCAGCTATAAAACATTTGTAGGGGAGGTCTCTTGAAGCATTCTGCAAATATCTTCCCTAAGGGATTAACTTTTATCTAAATATATATCAAATTTGCTGATAATGAAGGTTAGGATATCACGTGAAAGAGCCAAGATCTAAACTTATCTCAGTTGACCAGTATTTAAATTCAGTACAGAGAAACTCCTCATGGTTAGATAGGAAATCTTACCTTTAGATTCAAGTAGCAAACTCCATAGGCAAAAGCTGATGATCAGTCCAGATTGTGAAGTTGTTTGGCTTGAGAGATGGCCAGGTCAGTAAAGCACATTCTGGCTGTGTCTCGGTGGTGCGTGGGGTGTAACGTTGGCTGTGTCTGGCCACTGGCCCTTTCCTCTCCGGCTCTTTCCCTGGTCTCTGCTTTCTCACCGCCACCAGACAGGTAGCTTTCTTGTGCCATACTCTTCCCCATGGTGTTTCTGCCTTGGACCGAGACCTCTGACCCAAGGGCCCAAATGACACTTTTCTCCTTTAAACTGCACGTGTCAGGTGTCATCCCGGCCACAGAAAGCTGAGAAGGCCAGAAGCCTTGCAAAGAAGCTCTCCTTCTTTGAGTGATGGCTGGACAGTGCTTTGCCTGGGACATTGGAGAATGCTGTGGCTATTATAAAAACTATTAACTCAGCGCTCTATTCTTAACTTTGAGTGTACCAATTTGATATGGCTCTACTCACTTAGTAGCTGCTTAGTACATTTTCATTTTACCTATTAAAAAGGCAAGCTTTAATCTTTTGACACAAGATCTTGCTATATAATCCAGGCTGGCCTTGAACTTACCATGAAGCCTTGGCTAGCCTTGACCTGGCAATGCTCCTGTCTTGCCCTCCTGAGTACTAGAATTAGAGGTAGGAGTCATCATGCCTGGCTGAAGAAATTTTTTCCCACTGCAGCATGCGTTTTGTTGTTGTTACTGCTTTCCTGTGATGCAGTGTTTTACTATGTACTCCTGGCTGGCCTTGTACTCATGATCCTCCTGCCTCAGCCTCCTGAGTGCTGGGATTACAGTCCTGCACTTCCACTAAAATATTAAACTTGTTATGAAAAAAACTTAAATTCGTTGCTTTTTAATCCTCACAGCTCTGTAGGTCATATGATCTCAGTTTCACAGCTGAAAAAATTTTGTATGATTGAGCCAGATTACTCAAGGTAATTTTCAAATCTAGGATTTAGATCTAATTTGCTAAATTTGTGCTTCTGACAGATTAGTGTTGAGATTATTATTAGTGTTGCTTAACTGTACAGGACATCGTTCCAAACAGTAAACTTCTGAACTATTACAGACCAATAAGACTTGTTTATTTATTGTTATTATTTCTGGAAGGTTGCTAGTGTGCCTTGCTATTTTTTCAAGGTGTTATGTTTGCTCAGTGGAACCATTTAAACCATTTTCATCTCTTTCCTAGGGATGAACTGAGACGAAAGACATAAGATGCCCTGGAATACTCATGTTCCTCACCCTGAGATGCCATCTCTTGGAGATGCTTCCATGACAAGGGTACTTGTATAGGTACAAGATATACACTCACAGTCCATCCAGAGCCAGTTGGCCTCCTCAATGAAGGGAGATTATAAAGAGTGGTCAAAGATGCCTTAACTATGTGACTATCCTGAAGGGCTCTTTTCTCCCTCTTTATTTAAATATAACCATATATTCAATTAGGTATTTTTCATAGTCTTTCACTCTCCAATATCAATAATCTTCGTGTGTTTAAAGACAGGTGTATTGGTTGTTGAGGAGCTTGTTGCATATTGGATGTATACAGACTACCTTCAAAATACTAGGTCAAGTCCTCTGGCCCTTGGAGAACTTTATCATCAGATGAATATGAAATTGTTCACAGGAGTGGATATGTGTGTGATGAATAGAGTTTGCATGATAATGCTCAATAAAAAATTTGAAATGTGAACAGGTAAAGATGAAGCAAGATTATTTTTCACAGAAATTATCAGCAAGGTGGACCTCTAGTTATAAAGGTCACTTCCTCTGTATAATAGGGTGGTACTACTACAGTAAGTTCATGACATCTCCTTGATGTTTTCTTGATATTCAGTGAACCATTCAAGCCCAGTATAATTTTATAACAAAATTTTTTTATATGCAATGTCTCACTGGTTCTGAATTTTGGTGAATGTGAATTTTTAATTTTTTTTTTTTTTTTTAAACAATAAAAGAAGGATAACATAATAATAGGGGGGACTTAGCAAATTACAGACAAAATGGTAGGATTTTTTTGTATGAGGAATTGAACTTGGGACCTTGTGCTTACCAGGCAGGTGCTTGTGCTGCTGAGCTATATCCCTCGCCCTGGATCTGAATTTTGGAATTTTGGATGTCTTTAAAAAATTCATGGACTTAATAAAATACTATCTTCTCCAGGAAAATGTTCATCTATAAAGTCATTTCAAATTATAATAAATATATAAAGTTAGAAATATTCAGCTTTATATATAGTTATATATACTCAATGTCACTATCTCATTCCTATGCATTACATATACATTTGTAGGAGCTGATGTCTAATCATTATCTTTAGAGAGCTATCCCTCCCAGTCACCCAGAACAAGAATCTGTGAGTCTTCGTCTGTTTATTAATCATAAGTTTTATATAGCTACTACCTTTAGAATGCTATACATTTTTAAGGTAAGCTGAATTATACAGCCTTTATTTGAGGCATCAAGGAAATGTGAATTATTACACTTACTACATTTAAGAAATCTTAACAAGTAACACTTGTATCTATAATATAGGTACACAGTGTATTCTGCACTCATGTTCAAATCTTTTACTATTGAAAAGGGGTAAGATTTTAAAACAGTTACAAACTAAAACTTACTGATGTAAAACTTACTGATGGGTACTCTGGTTTCTACAAAGCTAATTTTCTTTGTTAGAAAATAAATATAGGTATATGGAACAAATAAGAATGTTCCCTTATACTTTTATATTTCTAATAACAAAAAGCACACATTTTTGACATGTTTTCCACTACTATGAAAAATAATAGTATTACTAGTAGTCACCTTTTACTTTTACTTCATTATGTTATACATAACATCAGTTTATATTGTCCTTACCATCCTATAAGATTGGCTTTATTACACTTAATGCACATTTAAGAAAAGTTAGTTTTGTTTTTTGTTTGTTTGTTTGTTTGTTTCCAGTACTGGGAATCAAACTCACAACCTTGCACTTGCCAGGCAGGCGCTATGCCGCTGAGCTAAATCCCCAGCCCTAAAGAAAAGTTAGAATTAAAGAAGTTAGGTAAATTGTAGGTAGTGAATGTTGGAATTAATCAAAGATTTACTTTCTTTTTTCAGAGAAAATACTATTTATGAAATGATTGTTTGTTTTTAAGTAGTTCTGTGATCTAGGTCTTCACGTACAACACAATGAACAGATATAAATAAAGACATATTTAATGCTGCATCTTGAGGGGTATGAATGTAGAAACTTTCCTTGAATTTTAAAATATGGACTTAAGAGTCAATATTATTCCCCAGATTGTCTGAGGACTGGACTTTTCAAATGCAATCTCTTTCTTACAGTTCCCCTTTATCACAAAATGGTGCCGCATATAATTTTTGAATCAATAAATCCACAGTTGTATTAAGAAATATTTTATTAACAAAACAGTAAATTCCACTTGCTTAGCATTTCCAATAATGGATAAATTGGCCTTGCAACAGAAAAACAAAACAAAACAAACCCCTTAGATACCCAATCACACAAAGCACTAGAAGGGTAAGATCACGTGGCCTCTCTTTGATGCCTTAGGGATTGGCCACCTCACACATTGTTATAGTAGTTGTCCGTTTTTTTTGGTTTTTTTTTTTAAAGGCAACACATTACATGGATAAAAAAGAAGCATACTCAATCATAAAAGTTACAGTCTAGAGATGTAATCAAATTTACGCCAGGTAGTGTGAAATCCTTTATTTAAACTGTGAGTGAACCCTGATACATTTGGTATGAAGAGTCTCAGATTGTATTAATCTTTTTCTCTCCCTAACTCATCTCCTCTCTTTTCTTTCTCCAGTCAGGAAAAGAAAAACAGCTAGATTTTTGAGTTGGCCAATAACATTAGACATATCTTACTGGCAATATTAGATCATATCATTGCATGAAAGCTTAAAATTTATGTTGGAAAGAAACATTGAAAGCAATCCTAATGTCATGCTTCACTGATATATCACTACTTGGTTTTTTTAAATAGTGTTAGAATCTTTTCAGATGAAGCTAGCTCAAATTCACTAGATCAAATGGAAAAGAAACCAGCTTTTTAAACCCAAGCTGTAAATTAGTGGTTTTATATTACCTTTTTATTTCGCCGACTTTCCCTGAGTAAGACGGAATGAGAGAGGTGGGGGAAAAAGACTTGTGAGTTCTTTAACCTGGCAAATGAAAAAGAGATGAAAACTTGAAACTCAAGTAATGGATATTAAATTTTAGTTGTACACCATCTACTTTCTGGGTCATGAAAAAGCCTTTAAGGTTCTTCTTACATAGTTACTTGGCAATCATAGACAATGGTGATTTGCTATGAATTATTCATATGTCTAAGGTACTATATGTCTGAAATCCAGGCCACTTCTTGGCATTTTCCATTAACTAAAATATCACAAAAATGTTTTGCATTTTTTGCCTTTGCTGATTAAAGCTAACTCTAAAGGTATTCTTGTCTTGTATGAAATCTAATATCATTTTAGGAGATGTTCAAGTAATGTGACCAATTTTTACCTTCCATCCAAATAATGCTCTTCCATGGCTTTACCTTCTCATTCTAATAATTTATTGCTATGAACATCATCAAAACAAAATGCAAAAACAAGTGAGTAATCTGTACTTTCTTACTATTTAATGCATGTTAAGCTAAAACTATATTTAATGATATAGATATAAACCAGAAAAGTTAAAATTTAGTCAAAAATCAATATAAAGAGAAGTTTTTAAATGGGTAGTAATACAGAATCAAAAATGATTGAAAATACTTTTTTAGTTGAGAAAGTAGTTACTTTCCAAAAAGTTTTATCATGCACATCAGGTCAGAGACTATATATATATTACTTTATTGGAAACCAACTTTTCAATTGCAGCAGCCAGAGTTAAGGTGTAGATTACCAACTTTACTTCCATAACCTACCCACAAAATGGTTGACACTCATACGGAAGTATACCAGGGATATTGTATTTGATAAGAAAAGGTTCCATTTCCTTAGGGACTAAAATCTTCTCTAGTTCTCCTGGGAGCAAGAGCTCCGTGAAGCAAATCACCCCATTTGTCATATACGTTGGCACAACTATCTTTCTGCCTGCTTTTCAGTGTAGGTCTTCTAATCACTCCTCTGCCTTTTGGCTAAGATCAAGTGCAGTTTGGGTCTTCCGTCATATCTGATGGATTCCTCATGGTGTGTGTGTGTGTGTGTGTGTGTGTGTGTTTGCAAATGGTGCACACATGTAGGGATGTGAGTATTTGGGGGAGAAAAGATTATAAGATATATATGTATATATTTTACCTTCTAATTCACACCTCTCATACAAATACTAAAACTTAACTGCAACAGAATGAAGGCTGTACATGTAAGAAAAAAATTAGCTGAGTCTGTATATACATTCATACATATCTTTCTTAGAATAAACACTACACTGTAATTTTTTTAAAAAAGTAAGTAATTGTGGCAATTTATAATGGTGGCAAAAAAAATCTGACTGAAATAATTGTTGCTCTGATGTCATAAAACTCCCTATACTTAGCAACACTTATAACATTGAATTTACCAAAAATGGCTGAAGAGCAGAGATATATTTTGCATTTTCTATACAACAGGCTATAAAACGTCACTTATCACAGTCCAGAAAGCACACAGAGATGGGTTTTATATAAACATATGTAATAACATAGTAAGCGTGCATGAAAATTTCCCAATGATTGCATCTATGCCCTCTTATTTTTGTCTGGAAATTTTAGTGTGAAAATGTGCCTTATATTTCACATTTTTGAAAATAAGGCCTCCGTACATTTTTTTTTTCTTGCACAATCAGAAAGGGGCTTTTTGAATGTGTTCCTACACAAGTCTTCAAAAAAGCCAGCACTTTGTACGAAACGCAAGTTCCAACCACTGCTCCAGCTGCACCAGGCCGCAAACTCTGAGAGGTTTGCGGGTTGCGTCCCTCAGGAGGACAAGTCTTCTCTGGCCATCAAACTAACTGACCTCTCAGGAAAGCGCTAGCACTTCGGCTAAATCCAGGATCATAGGTAGCTTCTTTTTTGTGTTATGTTTTGTGTTGTTTTGGGGTTGTGCCTCGATGCTGTCACACTCCTTTGCTCTATGAATGCGCGCGGTCATCACTGTCTTTTAGAAATGTTCCAGCAACATAAAGACAGGCAGAGTAAATGAAAACACTGTGGATATTAGGGAATTTATTGGCCCCTGTGTTTTTCTTTTTCTCTCTTTTTTTTTTTTTTGTTTTTTGGTTTTTTTGTTTGTTTGATTTTTTGAGAAACAAGAGCATGAGATACTTGTTTTGCTTTGTTTTTGTTTTTGTTTTTTTTTTTTAAAAACAGTCTTTCCCTCCTGATTGCATTCCCTGTCTTCTTTTGTATGTGCTTCATAAAAAGGAAAGTAAATAAGTTTATATTATGTCTCAGGTAAAATGAAGACTATTTCTATACAAGTGTCCTTTTCAGATCCCGGGATCAGACGTAATACTCTTTATCCTTGTTTTTCTTGTTTTTGTTGGCGCTCTTCGCGCTGCTGGGCTGCTTCTCCTTCACCACGGCCCCGTTAGACTGTGCCGAGTTACTGATGTAGTTTCGGCTCTCATCCACGTGGTACGAGCCTTCATCCCGGTTCCTGTACTTGTACATGGCGTAGAGAAGGATGAGGATGCACAGGGCGGCTGCGGCCACGATCCCGACAACCATGCCCGTGGTGCTGCTGGACTCCCGGATCACTTCTGCAGAGCCAGGGTACGGCTCCCTCCCGCCCACTCGGGTTGGGTTGGCTGTAGGAAACAGGGTGAGAACACACAGAAATGATGACTGGGTTTCTGCGTCCTGGAGAGCCAGCCTCACACCCTCCCTGTATATCAGCGCCCCGTGGAACAGACCTCTTTCGGTAAAGTATAATGTTGCTATGCAGAGCGATGCCCATGCCTCACGGTCAGTGACCATGGAAACAATGATGCAGAGACCTCTGAAGGAGATCGGCTGTCACCTCTTACTCCTCACAGGTCAATTGCATCACCAGTATTCATTTGCATTATCTAAGCACAGCCCCCAAATAAGCATCGATTTGCTTGACAGCAAGTTTGGTGAAAGGTCATAAACCCAACATGACGAATAAACCACAACAGCCCTCCCTTATCATGTTAGCACAAATCACTCAGGGAACGACCCTGCTGTCTCTGCGGAGCACCTAGGAATAACTTGGACTGAATCAGGACAACTCCACGTAGGCCTGCTTTAGAAATTACACTACTTTCCATTCTAACGAACGCAGCATTGAACAATAGACTCATCCAGGCCCTTTGAATAGTCTAATTGTCCGCTTTTAAAAGTGCAATTTTAGTCACGTATTTATAAGCTACGACAGAACTGATTTCCCTTCCTGTTGGAGTCATTTGTTTACGTATGTGTACATGCATTTTATTTATATATTGGCAGTGACTGAATGATCCTCAAGGCTAAGCTCTGGGAAAGAAAGTAGGAAAGCATTCTTTCTCAAGCTTGAGGATCTTCTACACTGGTTTGAGTCAACACTTGGCACTTAATGGATGATAATAAAAGACTGGCTGGCCTAGTTTTAGTCAACGGACAGAACCCTTACTTAATCTTCCTACAGTATAAACAAGGTACAAGCGATGCATCGATCACAAGGTGTCCAGTGTCTTCCCCAAATCCCCATAGGCCCTGAAATTGACCACAAAAGGCAAAGGAAAGGGCTGGAGAGGGAGAGGTGGAAGAGCAGCTCTTTTTCTTGAGATGCTTTCTTTTTTTAACTGAAAAAGAATAGGAACTGTAAAGAGAAAATACTCTGTCTATTTTTTATCCTCGGTTATTTTTTTCTCTTTCACTGAATCTTCATCCTCTCCTTTTTCTTTCAGAAAAAGATAATATTTCAGGTACAGTAGGTTAAAAATCCTACAACTTCCAAAACATTACTCTTTGGAAATTACGCAGTCACTTTTAAAAAATCTCAATTTGTGTATATATTGTGCACACACATATGTGTGTCTGTGTTCACACTCCCCAGGAAACCAACAATTCAAGAAGACTAAGACTGTGCTTTTAGTTCACTACTATGCAATGTCATTCAGTGAACTTTAGTATTTCCGTAAAAGTTTCTGTTAATGACCGGGAATCATTTACCATTACACATACCCACACTTCTTTGTAATTTCACTTTCAAATGTCCCTAAGAGTCTTCTGTTCAGAGGTGAGAGTTTTGCTGTCATTGTCTTTTCCTCCCACAAAGACAGTTGTTTAGAAAGTCGTAGCTCTCAGCCTCAAAGCAGCAACGTGTTCTGAAGCTACAAAATGCAGCAGGAATTGTATCCTGACTATGTCACTGCTTGTTTTACACAAGCCAATGTAATGTTGCTGAATAAAAAGCCTCACAGTCACTTCTACGACCAAGGTAGAAGCACACAAAGAGTATAATCCACAGCAGTTGATTACAGGAAATTAATTTCTTCTCAAGAAGCACAGAACCTACTGCAGCAACTGTCACTACCTGACAAACCAAAGGCGGGCTTTCTCCTTTCAATACAGTCATCTTGTCAAAGTGTGCCAATTAGCTCAGCTGCTAACTTCTGCTAAGTGACAACCTTCTACTTGCTCCCTCTGCAGAGCTGCCTTTTATCACGGAGCCTCAAAAGCTAAAAAGAGAATTTTATGTAAATGTTGCCTAAATCACTCTTTCCCCACTTGATGGAACGCTTTCGTGTGAAATCCATTTTTACAATTATCTCAAGTCATCAGAGGGGGTGGGGGAGGAGGCAGACGCATTCCTAATCACTTAGCTCAGAAAATAAAATGTGAGGATTTTCGTGGGATGCAGGATTTAAATTTTCTAGCACAAGAATATATTCAGTTCTATCTAGGAATTAGTGTAATGCATGGATTATCTTATCCAGGAGTATTAATTTAAATTTTATGTCTCAAATATGTCTGATACAGTTTCAGAGCAACTCTGCATGCAGCACATTAATAATGTGTCCTGGAAACAGAATGAGCTAGCAAAGACAGGAGCAGAACCTGAAATTCTTGAAGTTTGTGGCTTAAGCACTGGATACACATTTCCTATTTGAGGACTGTACTTGGCTTTTCTAGAATACCAGCAAAAATGTTGCATACGTCAAACGAGACCTAAAAATATCTGCATGCCATCCGTATCTGTTCTATAGATCATATTTTTAAAAGTAATACAAGAAAAGCCCTAAAAAGCTAAAATCTAGGCCCCATGAAGAAATCTACATTCCCTTTCTATCATTCCTTCCATTCACATTAAAATTTTCATAATCACCGTAACTAGTATTATCATGGAACTGTTTGCAATATGCAGTTGCTCCCAGATCTGATTAATTAATGTTTTTCTATTCATGCTTCAAATCTGAAGGCTAAGTCACATTTCCCTTAAATTTCATTCTAAGGTGAAAGATATGTATGTGTTAAAAGGACATTTTTCTCATGCATGCAGTAACAGATTAGAGATTAGAGAAATCCAACTATGTTCATGAATTATAAATGTAGTTTCACTTATTGATTTGTTATTAATACTTTATTTTGATGATCACAGAAAAATATCTGAGGACATTTTATATTAATTTGAATGTAGAAAATAACATAGCAAGGCTAAAGATGCCAATGTGAGAAATGGATTTTGATCAGAGATATCCATAAGTAATTTCTGGATTTCATCCATTTCAGCATTTTTCCTTCCTTTTACATTCCACAGTAAGCTAATAGGACAGTTTTAATAATTAAAATAATTTACAACAGGGGCTGGGGATTTAGCTCAGTGGCAAAGCGCCTGCCTGGCAAGCGCAAGGTCATGAGTTCGGTTCCCGGTACCAGAAAAAAAACAAAACAAACAAACAAACAAAAAAAATTTACAACATATTTTTCTCAGCTGTGCTAAAAGCTGAATAAATGAACTGAAGTTTACTTTTACTCTTTCTCCCTTTATTTATCCAGGTGTGTGATAAAGACAGTTTTATGTATTTATGTATTTATTTATTTTTGAGACAGGGACTCATTGTATAGTGCAGGCTGGCCTTGAACTCACCATGTAACCCCACCCCATCACGGCAACTGCAGGCCTGTGCCACCATGCGCAGCTCTAAAGTCATTTTTAAAAACAAGTGAAAGAACAAAGAAGGAGGGATGACAAAAGTGGAACACACACAAATTACCTTTAACTTTTAACAGGTAAAAAATGACCTCTGATTTGTAGATAACAGTAAGATGAGAAAGCCAGTTTATCTCACTGGTCCCAAGGACACAAGTGGTCTGGGTCAAAGGCAAACTTAAGTAGGACTGACGGATGTCACCGAGCAAAGCAAGGCATTTAAGCAACTGGGTTTAATTCAGTGGACAAGAGTTTAACTTTGGTGGTGGCATACCTAATTAATTTTAAGGTTAGGTGTCACTAATAAAAAAAGGAGTTCATGAAATCTAAAATTTGGGTCCATATACATCCTGTTTCAATGATTCATGAAGTATAATATCACGTATAAAGTATGCATTTCGTAAAATGAGAACACTACAGTGATGGGTTATTGTGATTATCACACCTCACCATGCAATTCTAGTGAACAGTGTCTCACATCGTGCATCTCTCAGAGTCAACAACATCAACACTGCTTGCTCTTCATGTGGGGACAGCTGCATACCTGCTTTAACACTAACACAAAGTATTTTGACTTCTGTTGGCAGGTTAGCTGATGAGTATCTTTTGCCCAGTCTAGGCTGCACCAGGTAGAGAGGAATTGTCTTGGGTCAAAAAAAAATATGTAGTTAAGATACATAAGTAATAAGACTTTCTTTTCTTAAAAATATTTTTTAATTTGATGTAATCCCATTTTTTGATTTTTGGTACTTTTTTCTGTTGGTATTCTGTTCATTTTACATTGATGATTTGAAGAGTTTTACCTATTTCACATTCTAGCAGGTTGAGTGTTTCTGCTTTAACATTTAGTTCTTTGACCCATTTTATTTTTATTTTCCATTTTGATTTTAGTTTAGTATGTGGTGAGAGATATGCATCTAGATTTAATCTTCTGCATGTGGATAGCTAGTTTTCATGACACCGTGTATGAAAGAAGCTACCTTTCCTACAGTGTATGTTTTCGCTTTTTTGTCAAATTAAAAACCTTCTGCACACACACAAAAAGCAATCAACAGAGTAAAAAGAAAACCTACAGAATGGGAAACAATTTTTTCCAGCTATTCCTCAGACAGAGGACTAATATCTAGAATATATAAAGAACTCCGAAAAACTAGAGCACCCCAAAATAAAAGACCCAATCAACATATTAGCAAGAGAAATGAATAGGCACTTCTCAGAAGTATAAGTGACCAGTTAGTACAAGAAAAAATGCTCAACATTGCTGGTCAATAGAGAAATGCAAACAACACTGAGATTCCACCTTCTCCTGAAACAATGGCCATCATCAGGAAATCAACCAATAACAAATGCTGGCAAGGCTGCCGAGTGTCTTTGTGGGAGAACGCTTCTACATTGTTGGTGGGAATGTACTCTAGTACAACCATTATGGAAATCGGTATGGAGATTCCTCAACAAACTGAAACTAAAACTTCCACTTGACACAGCTGTTCCTCTTCCGCCTCAACGAGTTGAAGACACTGTATCCCAGGGACACACGCACACCCATGTTACAGCAGCACAGTGCAAAGTAGATCAATCTGAAAAGTGCCCTGTGCGGTCAGGGACGGAGGAAGGGGTGGAGAAAATGTGGCGCTGACATCAGTGGAGTCCTCC